CTGCGGGGCTTTGTGCTTGCTCCCCTAGTGGTCTACCTCTTCACAGGCTCCCTCTTCCTCCTAGTGGGGTTTGTATCATTGTTCCGCATCCGCAGTGTCATCAAGCAGGGGGGGACCAAGACAGACAAGCTGGAGAAGCTGATGTTAAGGCTGGGCCTCTTTATAGTCCTCTACACGGTCCCTGCCGCGGTGGTGGTGACCTGTCTGGTGTACGAGCAGCACCTTAGGCCCCAGTGGGACACAGGACTTTCCTGCTCCTGCCAGGCTGAGAGACAGAGGCTAGTCCTAGGGCCAGACCACGCCATCTTCATGCTCAAGTACTGGTGGTGGGGATCACCTCAAGGGTGTGGGTGTGGTCGGGGAACATCCTGGAGTCGTGGAGGAGGTGTTGTTCATGTCCCTGCTGGGGCCACAAACCCTCCAGCGCGTCAGTGTACAGCGAGGCCAGCACATCCCTCACGACACACACTGGGCTGCTCCGCTTGCAGTCTGAGCACAAGTCCCTGTCGCACCACAAAAAGTCCATTAGCAATATACAGTATGAGTCAAACAGACATAGTGGTTCCTCTCCCTCACTTGTTGGTGTTGAGTTCAGCCTGTCCATTTGGTGATGGTAAATCACTGCTTAAACATATTGGAAATGGACAGTGTCCATCATAACATGTTAAGACTGGCAATGTATTATGTGCAATGGACACAGTCCATTAGCAATATATTACAATGGGCATTTACCATCACGAATTGGACATGCTGTTACATTGCTGAAATGCCCAATGGTCTGGCTTGTTGAACTCGGGATGGCCTAGCAGTGATAGTGGTTCCTCTCCCTCGCTCGTTGGTGTTGATTTCAGCCTGTCCATTTGGTGATGGTAAATCACTGCTTAAACATATTGGAAATGGACAGTGTCCATTTGCCATATGCAATATTGCCAGCGCCAATATGTTATAATGGACATATTGGCACTGGCAATACATCATATGGCAAACGGACACTGTCCATTAGCAATATGTTACAATAGGCATTTACCATCACAAATTGGAAATGTAGTTAAAGGGTTTAAACTAATAAAGTCCACTACTGGGACACTCTACTGTACACATACAATTCAAATGTGCTGTCCTTTGACTGTTTATGATGATGTTAAGCAATGAGATGGCTGACTTGATTGCTGTCCAATTGCAATATGTTACAATGGCATTTGCCCTATGATATAATTGCAAGTTCATACTTCCCATTTAGGATATGAAGGGGACCATGTACTCTATTTATATTGATATCTGTAGAGCTACTGGTGACCCTGAACATGTGGCAAAAGGATCTTTGCAAATTGCATGCACGGAAGCAACGTTAGAGCATACCCTGTAAACCAATGTTATCCTAAGGGAGAAACTTGGATGGGTCAAACTACATGAACTGCCGAGCGCAGCTACAATAACTATGTGAATTGTCCACTCCAAACCTTCCCCGATGACCCCAGTCAAAAACTGCGTGTCTCTGCGTGATCCAGAGGCCGTAATAAGTGAAAAGCATGTTGAAATCACTACTAGTAAGGCTTCATTCCGGGCCTACTTTTTTGCACAGTTGCTGCGGTCAGATCAAACGAGCTACGGTCAAGTGGGGCACATTGTTGAACTTGGAACGGCCTAGCAGTGATAGTGGTTCCTCTCCCTTGCTCGTTGGTATTGATTTCAGCATGTCCATTTGGTGATGGTAAATCCCTGTTTAAACATATTGGAAATGGACAGTGTCCATTTGCCATGTGATATATTGCCAGTGCCAATATGTCCAGTATAACATATTGGCGCTAGCAATATATCATATGGCAAGTGGACACTGTCCATTAACAATATATTACAATGGGCATTTACCATCACAAATTGGACATGCAGTTAAAGGGTTTAAACTAATAAAGTCCACTACTGGGACACTCTACTGTACAAATACAATTCATATGTGCTGTCCTTTGATTGTTTATGATGATTTTAAGCAATGATATGGCTGAATTGATTGCTGTCCAATTGCAATATGTTACAATGGCATTTGCCCTATGATATATTGCAAGTTCATACTTCCCATTTTGGATCTGAAGGGGACCATGTACTCTATTTATATTGATATCTGTAGAGCTACCGGTGACCCTGAACACGTGGTAAAAGGAACTTTGCAAATTCCAACCATCCAAGAACAGTTTGGTGACGAACAATGCCTTTTCCAGCATGATGGAGCACCTTGCCATAAGGCAAAAGTGATAACTAAGTGGCTCAGGGAACAAAACATCAACATTTTTGGTCCATGGCCAGGAAACTCCCCAGACGTTAATCCCATTGAGAACTTGTGGTCGATCCTCAAGAGGCGGGTGGACAAACAAAAACACACAAATTCTGACAAACTCCAAGCATTGATTATGCAAGAATGGGCTGCCATCAGTCAGGATGTGGCCCAGAAGTTAATTGACAGCATGCCAGGGCGGATTGCAGAGGTCTTGAAAAAGAAGAGTCAACACTGCACATATTGACTCTTTGCATAAACGTAATGTAATTGTCAATAAAAGCCTTTGACACTTATGGAATGTAGTTATACTTCAGTATACCATAGTAACATCTGACAAAAATATCTCATAACACTGAAGCAGCGAACTTTGTGAAGACCAATACCTGTGTCATTCTCAAAACTTTTGACCACGACTGTACATGCAACTTATGTGACTTGTTAAGCACATTTTTACATCTGAACTTATTTAGGCTTGTCATTACAAAGGGGTTGAATACCTATTGACTCAAGACATTTCAGCTTTCCATTTTTAATTGATTTGAGAGAAAAAATATTGAAAAACATAATTCCACTTTGACATTATGGGGTATTGTATGTAATCCATTTCAAATTAAGGCTGTAACACAACAACATGTGTAAAAATTCATGTGGTGTGAATACTATCTGAAGGCAATGCACAACCACATAGGCTGATAAATAGTCTCAGATTTTTCTTTTGATTATTTAATTACCCTACATCATGTTATTTCAAGTTATCCCTTTGTTAAAAAATATGCCTAAATTGGGCATGCCTATAAGTGGGGCAATTTGAAAGCATCTAGGGCCAATGTTAACTTTGTTTGTGTTCAATGAAAATGATAGAACTTTCAAAAGTGATTTGATGCCACTGTGCCACAGCGATTTAGAGTTGTTAAAATGGGAGTGACGAGTGTGTTCATATAACGGTAATATTTTTACAAAAATCCCCTTTTAACAACAATCAGAATAAAACATTTAAAAAAAGGTTATGCATGCCAACATATTAGCAAAGAATTAAGAGTAGGCAAAGTGATCGTATCAGGTGAATATTATATCAAATGTTTTACGATTGCAACATTAGATGTACAGTCACATTCACAGTGGTTGTCTGAAGCGTGCACAGCAGGCAATGCTTCATCGCGATTGGTTATTCCCCATCATTTGCAATCGTAAATCACTATTTTTCCTTTGCGGTACCTCAAATTGTCGTGATCACCAGCTGAGATAAACTTTTATGACTTGATTTTACTCCTGGCTCACGTCTTTGTCTTAACATCATCCTAAAACCTACTCTGAGATGGGAGTTTTTCTGAGATGCTTTGGGGAGACTGGCCAGGGACTAGGCTTAATCTCTGTCCGGGAAACCATCCCTAAGAGTGCTATAAAGTAAGTGAATAACATTCATACTGATAGGGGACAAAAATCTAATGCAACATGTCTCTTGGAGTTTACTGTAAGTGGCTGATAATGTTTTTTGTGCCTGTTCTGTACAGTACAATATATTTATTTTAATAATTGAGAAAGGGAGTGTCTACACTGAGTGTACAAAACATTTAGAACACCTGCTCTTTCCATGACAAACTAACGAGGTGAATACAGGTGAAAGCTAGGATCCCTTAATGATGTCACTTGTTAAATCCACTTCAATCAGTGTAGAGGAAGGGGAGGAGACAGATGAAATAAGGATTTTTAAGCCTTGAGACAATTGAGACATGGATTGTGTATGGGTGCCATTCAGAGGGTGAATGGGCAAGACAAAATAGTTAAGTGCCTTTTGAACAGGGTATGGTAGTAGGTGCCAGGGGCACTGGTTTGTGTTAAGAACTGCAACGCTGCTGGGTTTTTCACGCTCAACAGTTTCCCGTGTGTATCAAGAATGGTCCATCACCCAAAGAACATCCAGCCAACTTGACACAACTGTGGGAAGCATTGGAGTCAACATGAGCCAGCATCCCTGTGGAACGCTTTCCATGCCCCGATGAATTAAGGCTGTTAAAAGGAGGTGGGGATTCAACTCAATATTAGGAAGGTGTTTTTAATGTTTTGTACACTCAGTGTATATTAATTTATATTTATGTCGTTGATAATGGAGCCTCCAAAAGATGTGGTGTGATGCTTTCACTTCTTTCAGTAGTAAAGCAACTGGGTCATTACACAAATGTAGCATTGTAACATTATCATAAAGAGCAAAGAGAATTATCAAATTGCAGAATTTTGGCACTTTATTCATATTGAAAATCTGATTTACTGAATTTTCCAACTTCATTTAATATAACTGGCTTTTTAAAGTCAAAATTGGTGCACAATTTCTATTTAAAATGTCAAAGGGACTAGTAAGACTAGCAGTCCATTGGCTGGTAACCTCACACAGTATAGAAAAGCTAGGTGTACTAGCAGATTTTCAAATAGTATTTTTTTATTCTTTATCTGCTCTTAATTGAGCTTGCCTGGTGCAATACATTACTCCCAAAAGTGCAAACCCTGCCCATCTGGCATTCCAGGCAGGCTCAACCAAACACCAAAAGGTATTTGAAAGGCAGCAAATACTATTTGAACCAAGATATGCCACCTATGTAGAAAGGACCAAAGGGTAGAAGAGTAGCTGTACATCTGTACTTTGGTGCACCCTCCTACTACCTTGTGTGCCCCCCCTCATCCCCCATGTAGAAAGGCTGGCTGTACCTTGGCTGGTGGTGGAAAGGCTAGCTGACTATACCTTGTTTGGCAGAGGTCCTCCTATCTGGTGTGGCCCCTCTGACTGGGACGTCCCTCTGTCCTGATAGGCTAACACAGACTGAGAGACACAGGCCTCGATCAATGGGAGTTACATGCAAATATGTAATATTATGTCAAGGTATTTGTTATGTGAGTTTGTATGTATGTGTGCTCTTATGTGTAGTGCATATATATGTACTGCAATTCTCACCGTTTTTAACACAATGTAGGATGACTGTACATATGATAATCTTAAACTGTAAATCTATCATCTCGTGGACAATAAAGTTATATTGAAATAAAAATGTCTCCACTGCACTGTAACAGTATAGCACTGTCTGTTTGCACAGCTGATGAAACACAGACTAGGGTATACAAGCAGTGTGACAAGCAGCTGGAAATGTGTGTGGTGGGGTTGTATCGTAAAAAAAAACAGAATATATCACAACAACGTAAAACCACCTTTGTTTACTTGAAAATATTTCAATCAGTATAATGACAGGTTGAAATCCTCAAAGAATTCCAAAGGAATCAAACCTTGCAACAATACTTGCTGCATGGTACTTACAGGAATAATTACACAGTAATAATGCGTAACCTACTTTATATTATCATTGTTCTTTAAATAAAAATCAACCACAAAAAAACAACCTACCTCTCTTGCTCACCTTGTCGCTCACCTTGTTCCAGACACGGTCCTTCCTGCTACCGCCAATGTCCTCTCTGTCCTCCTTGTCGCCCGTGTTGGGGCAGTAGGAGTAGGAGCTGTGGTGGTGGCCATCTTTCTTGGCCCGGTCTTGGCAGTAGCCTTTACCCCACTTGGTCTCCTCCTTGCACCGCATGAACTTGTCGAACTCGTAGTGGTGGCGCTGTCGTTTTCTCTCCTCGTCTCTTCTTCTGTGGTCTTTGTCTCTATGCCTGCAGCCATGCTCTCTCTGTTCCTTATCGCTCTCCATCGGAACCCTAGTGGCAGGAAAGGGAAGCACAGTTAGACTGGTTATGACTAGGGCTGTGGCGATCATGAAAGTTTGTCCACTGGTTATTGTCATGCAATAATTGACCGTTAATTAACATAAACAAGTTTAGCATCTCCAGGCCTCCACGCATACAAGCTGCCTTAAAGCCGCTGATGTGCGCCTTTGGAACATCTACATTTAAAAAGTTGAATAAATCAATTTAATATACACTATAACAATAAATACATTATATATTTTTATTCAGGTCTAAAGAAACATTATGATATACATAAAATGTATTTTATCTATATGCTCCATGCCATAGGCTGTAGGCGTCTTCATTTAGCTGACAAGATATGCTCATCAGTCCCGTGCCATTATTTTGTATGATTTTATAGTAAGAAGAATATAATTGAACTCTGCTGAATAAAATAGAAGGGATATTTTTCCCATTCCGGAGCAAGTGCGCATATGAAGTGGCTATGTTGAGCGTAAAAGTGATCATTTGAAACAGGTCCTATACACTAGATTTAGAGTTACTTGGCAACTTTAGTTGTGAATAATACAATCTTAGAATGTCTTAGAAATCAAAACATATATGGGTTGCATGATGCGACTATAGGCTATTGATGATTTGAGAAAGTCGGAAAAAAAGCTTGCACTCTGTTCCTTGCCTCAGGTTGCACAGCTGTTCTCTCATCAAGTGATCATATATTCACCAATCAGACTATTCTCAATTTAATCTTGTCTTTACTAATATGTCAAATTAGTCTCGATTTAGAATGGCCCGTAATCAAACGGGCAGGGGCCCGGGGGAAAAAAAAGACGTCATCCGCACTCGAATAGCAAATGGAGGTCCGCTTTTCAATGATGTCGGATAGGCTACTTCGGTTACTTCGGTTTTATAGGGGAGCTGTGCTTAATATGAGCAGCTGAGAAATAAATATAAGAACACTTATTTCACTCCACACATCAACTACTGTTTGAGGAGCATGTTCTCGCTACACAACAGGTGATTTTCCGCCCAAACTCTGTATGCCATGGACTCCAACCCTGTTCCTGCAGCTACCCAGTGCTTAATTTGGGAAACCAAGTGAAATCTGTTCGGGAACATCGATTGTAACATGTTTTCGCAACTGAACATATTTCACTAAACTGTTGACACCCCCTTTGCACGCTTGAGAAAGGAATTAAGGAGAGAGAGGAGCAGATGGAAACAATTGGTGGTGAGATATTCTGTAGCTAAAGGTAATATGTCGGCCTATTAATTATGAAAATATAAAAAAATCACCAGAACTGTAAGCCACCCTGCACAATCAATGAACCAACAGCATCGCCTAGTTGTATACATTCTCTCCTAGACTCGTGGATAGAAATTTTGGAGCGTAGCATACGGTAACCCAGTCCATCCAGTTTGCATAATAATACATTCTACACAATTACTCAAATGTAATTGTGGAGTAGGCCTATAGGCTAGACCAATTATGTACCAAAGACAACTTAAATCAGTTTTTTTTAATGTTTTTCTGCGATGCGTAATATGCAGTAGGCTATGTATTGTATAACAGCACAATCATAATTTTTATTCAGGTTTTTTTTTCCGGGCTTGGGCTTATAAGCCTATGCATAAGCTCTAATAGAAGGCATTGTCCATTTTGTTGTGTTAGGCTTTGAAACAACATCCACAATGACCGACCATGTTTTACACTCAGTTTCAACCTGCTTTTGAACTTTTTTCATCACAGTGAGGCGAGTTTTAAAAGCATGATACTGTTTTGATGAAAAGTGTTTGATGTGATTTTTGATTGCATTTGCATTGATGTCAGAGTGATTAGAGGGACAATAGAGCCCTGAGTACCAGGCCATTTAGCGACCTAATGTTCATTAGGGTACTACCAACACATATCCTGAGAGGAGATTCCCGTAACTCAAGGGTCACGTGCAATTTTACTGCGGTCATGACTCAGGACTGCCAGTGTGACTGTAATAAGGTCACCGCAACAGCCCTAGTTATGACACTGGAGGGTTGTGGTATCAGCTTATGACCAGGCCCTGGCTATAAACATTGGTTTTGTCACATAAAGCTGTAAAGGCTCCAGGTGGGTCAAGGCCAAATTTGGCATCCCACTGTGATAAGGATAGAAACCTCACAGTAAGGCATATAAAACATCCCGTCCTTTACCACTAGCTAACTCCAACTTGGGTTTGTCATAACTGAGAAAAACAAAGCATCGGAGACTGATATAAAACAAAAACATCACAAATAGTGCAGTAAAAGCTCCTTACTTGTCCTTGGTTTCCTTTGACTTCATGTGTCCACTGGGTTTGTCCCACTTGGCCCTCTCTGTGTCCCCACTGTCTCCTTTGTCCTTGAGCCTGTCGGAGTCCACGTCATCGTCCCGGTCACTCTTCTTCAGGAGCTGAGGCAAGCCCAAAATACACTTACTATCCAACAACTACCAACAGTTATTAACAAAACACAGTCACTAACTATAAAATCTCTTGACACAGCCTTAACTCTGGGTGGCAAGATTACTGTCTATCTGACTAATAGTTACAACTAACAAAATCCAGCTCACGAAGGGCTTCCTAAAAGCTTTCATTTGGTGAATGTGCATATACCACTCAAAATGTTCTTTGATTTGAACTTTGTGTCAACAGAACCAGTGACCACCTTGATCTTTATCTCCTTCTCTGATAGTTTCTTCTGTTTATCCGCCTCGCGTTTGCGCCTCTCCTCCTCCCTCCTCTTCCTCTTCTCCTCCTCCCTCAGGCGTTTCTTCTCCAGCTCCCTGCATCGCCGCTCCTCTCTCTTCTCCTCTCTTATCCTCTACAGAAAAATGGCACCTTATTGTGAGAGTTGATCTACATCTGGATAGAAGTCCACAAAGGGCAACTATAAATGGATTATTTTTCACTGTTACATTACTCTTACCTGCTTCTCAAGTTTCTTATTCTTGATGTACTCCCGAAGAGGTGTTGTTCTTTTGGCTGAAATTGAATCACATATAATGCAAAGTCAGATTGATTGACTGCCTGACTTATTGGTTGATAGACAGACTGACTGACTGATTTTCTGCTTGATCCAGTACCTATGAGTTTCTTTGTCTTGGCCTCTATCTCTCCCAGCAGGGTTTCAGGGTTGGCCATGGACTTCTCCTCGTCACAGGAGTAGCTCTCCAGAAACCGCCGGTACTCCAGGTCTGTAAGGGGGAGAAGGGTACGGATGAGTGTTATGATGTCATTTCATAGTGTTGTGGGAACCAGGTTAACTTTAGTAGATAAGTGATTCTGGGTGCCGCACAGTCTGAATATTAAGGACTCCATTATGTCGAGGGAGCTTACTGAGGTTTATCTTAGAATGATTGATGGACATGATATACTGACTTGGGGTACAAGGTAATAACATCAAAGAAGGGAGTGCCCACTGATGGTTAACTGATTTTGTTGAAGAAACGTGTAACATGATGTACTGTATATAAACTGAGAGGTTTTCTTTGTCTGGTAGTTAGGATGACAAGAGGCAAAGCACGCGCCTTTTGTTAGACGAACCCGGTACCGAATCTATTAAATATTTGTATGAACTCTCCATCTAAGTGTTAAATATCTTCTTGCATCATGAATTACTTGATACCCGAGAAACTCATCATAACAGATTGGCGTCTGAACGAACAGGATGCAGTTTACAGCCAAACTAACAGGTAAGCATACTTTTTTTTTTTTTTATTATGTCAAAATCTGCTTATCTGTGGTAAAGCTGAGCTGTAACGAACATTTAAAATCAATATTTTAAAGGGAAAAAATGAGTGGTATTGAATTATGTAAAGGGATGTAAGGGGAATATCAAATTAGACAATGACATGGTGCTATGATTCGAAACAGGGTGTGTTAAGAGTACAAAGACAAAAAAAGAATACAGGAGTGGGTGTAGGACTTAAAGAGATGTGTTGTATCATCATGAAATAAGTATTTTGATGTGTAGTATCATCATGGAGTAAGTCATGAAAAAAGCATTGAGATGTGTAGTGTCATCATGAAATTAGTCATGAAATAAGTATTGAGATGTGTTGTATCATCATGAAATAAGTCATGAAATAAGCATTGAGATGTGTTGTATCATCATGAAATGAATCATGATATAAGTATTCTGATGTGTAGTATCATCGTGGAATAAGTCATGAAATAAGCATTGAGATGTGTTGTATCATCATTTGAATACCTTGGTAAAGAGAGAGAATTAAAGAAATAGGTTATGGACCTCTGATGTGTTGTATCATCATTAGATTTGAATACCTTGGTTAGGAGAGAATACGTTTTTTTGTGAGAGACTCAGGGCAGATACAAGTGAACCTGTTGAATCATAGCACCAAAGACAAAATAGGCAAACTAAATTTTAAATAAAGATCAAGGTGGGGATTTGATGCAAGTATTTGATTACTAATATTGCATGAACTAATAGCAGTAATGAATGGCCAGCTTAGTAGACTGGTATCTGGAAAAACAGTCACCATTAAGAGTAAATCAGAGCTTCATTTACCTCGAAGAGAGAGACAGGAAATAACAAAATTATTGCAAACAAATCCGCATTTAGAACAAGTCTCTTGTAAATTAATGTAAATCAGACAATTTATCAGTATGGACAGATTAAAATTATATGAATGTGTATGATAGGTTGATATAAATTTGGATAATAAGCTTTGATATAACATTATATTGTGGTTTCGTACATCAATGCCTATCATATAATATCAAAGAGGGGTATGGAGAGCGTGAGGTTATTTTAGAGAGTAGTGGAAAAGTCTGTATTTTCTGGGACAGGCAGGGCAGTGTCCTGGAAATTACAGTCTGTTTTGTTTTGGTTCCGATGGGAGTATGTTTGTAGAAGTTGATTTGTGTCGATTGAGAATAGTTAAAAACAAAAGTATTCTTTGATGTGAGTACCTAGAAGTTTCTAACGTTCTATATGGAGTTTGTGACGATGTGGAAATAGGATGAAGTTTATATGAGTAATCGATTACTAGAGAAGTGAGAAAATTAGAGTACTATGTACAGTATGTATTAACATGCTCACCCAAACGTAGACGTACATCATGGTTGGGAAATAATGAATACGGGTTTTCTAAGTTCGTACCGTTGTTAGATCCTTTGATAGAGATAAGGTTTAAGAAATTAACTGCCCATAAGGAGTGGAATTTATAGACGTAACTTATAATATTGTACAAAGCAAATTTAGGGTTTCCATTAAACTAATTATCATTGCGGAGCTAAGTTGGTGAAGTGAAGGAACTTCATTTTGTATCAGATGGTAAGACGACAAATAGTGTAATTGAGCTATGTGCAGGATACCTTTGTCATTTCAATGTCAGAGTAAAATCTGGGTTTCGGAGTGTAACTCTACTGTTGGTATGTGTTGCTTAGATGGATACTACAAAGTATTTGGTTTGGTGATGAAGAATGGAAGGTTTGTAGCGTGCTTGGTTCAAATGGAAAGACTCACTTATTTAACAGGAATAGCGAGACGATTTCGTGGTAGTCATTTTTTTGCGTTGCCTACGGGTTTGCTAGATTAGACGATTGAGAATGGTGGCGTAATGTCTATCAATGAATTGGATATTGATATTATGGATATAAATTCAATATATGCTTCTCAACTACAGCAAGTTTTTGGTTTATTGCTTGTAGCCTACTTAGAAAGGACAGTTACCTAGATCTGCTGTATTCTAATAATGGCCGATTGGTGGTTTCAGAAGAGCTGTGGCTAAGAAACAAACACTAGGGATAATGAAGCAGTGTTGGAAAGAAGCAGAGTATGAAAGATAACATTGACTGAGGAATATAGCAAATTTTGGGTTGAGGTGACTACAGAAGTATTACTGACACAATCTCGTAAAAGATCAACTGAAGCAAACATAAAGCTACTACAGCAATTTAGGATTGTGAAAGGTGTTAAGTTCGTTTTTAAACCCTACGATAGAGGTAAATGCAGAATGCTTTTTGAGAATGGTTTTTATTTGTTGTCTGGAGAATTTCTAGGTGTTAGCCACGGGCTCGCTGAACTCGAGCGGACTGTAAGGGACATAATGGGTTACATTTGGTGTAGTGGGATTTCTGGTTGCTGCGAAAAAGGAGGAAGTCAAAAGGGGGGTGAATGTTACCAGTGTGAAAGGGCTAGCTAGTTAGTTGTGCGAACAAGTAGCGTTTAGAGTGGTGACGTAACTTGCTCTGTGACCTGGAAGTAGTTGTCGCGGATTTTGTGGAGCGATGGATAACGGTGCTTCAAGGGTAACTGTTGTCGATGTGTGCAGAGGGTCCCTAGTTCAAGCCCAGGTAGGGATGGAAGCAAAACTGTTACATTGATGCTGTTGACCTGAATCACTGGTTTAATTGATAAGATTATACGAAAGAGATTGTCTTACTAACCCATGGCGGATAGTATAACATAGTAATTAAAGTTACATCTCTGTGAATAGATGTTTTGTTTGTTTTGACTATAACTTCACAATAATTTGTCATCTGTTAAAGTACCGTTAGATGGAAAGACAGCGGTAGAGGATAATAGAGATTGTAGAGGGTTTTCTGTGTTAAATATGAAAGTAGGTTAATTGGGTGATGAGAAATGTTGAATTGGATTGTTTGAATAGACTGGTATTAAAATAATTATTTATAGTTATGTGAATGAAAATATGTTATTAGGTAGTAGTGGTTTGTGGATAGAATTTACTAATGCCATGATTTAGTAAATGGGTGAAAGAGAGTCGTGCTGGTTGTGCTATATCGGGATATAAAGGAAGCAGAGGGTAAGGTGGAGCACATATCTAGATAATTGAATATAGAACGTTCTTTGACTATTTTTAATTATTAAATTCTATAGTGAGTTATGCAGACAGTTCATTCATTCTAAAAACAATAATCTGTTTCTGGTGCGTTGAACAATGGGAGATCGTTTTTACTATTAGGCTGATGGAGTAGTAAGCCTTTTTTGTATGTTCTGAAGTTATTAAACAATAGGTTGTTATTTTAAAACATCAATGCAACAAGTGGAGATCATTACATTACCAGAAAGGGGTTATAGGTTTATATTAGAAGGTGTAGTGAACTTAATGAAACATGGTATTATCTGATGTGTTTTGAGTGGGATTTTTTTTATATATGTTAAAGGGAAAGTAGGAGATGGTCTCAAACAACTTTTTAATAGACGCTTGGAATATCATTGATTCCTTACGCGGAGTAATTGATTATAGTGGCGAATGAATGAAATATGACATTTAGAGGGGTGACAGGAACAATACAGTGGGGAAAAAAAGTATTTAGTCAGCCACCAATTGTGCAAGTTCTCCCACTTAAAAAGATGAGAGAGGCCTGTAATTTTCATCATAGGTACACGTCAACTATGACAGACAAAATGAGGAAAAAAAATCCTGAAAATCACATTGTAGGATTTTTTATGAATTTATTAGCAAATTATGGTGGAAAATAAGTATTTGGTCAATAACAAAAGTTGCTCAATACTTTGTTATATACCCTTTGTTGGCAATGACACAGGTCAAACGTTTTCTGTAAGTCTTCATAAGGTTTTCACACACTGTTGCTGGTATTTTGGCCCATTCCTCCATGCAGATCTCCTCTAGAGCAGTGATGTTTTGGGGCTGTCGCTGGGCAACACGGACTTTCAACTCCCTCCAAAGATGTTCTATGGGGTTGAGATCTGGAGACTGGCTAGGCCACTCCAGGACCTTGAAATGCTTCTTACGAAGCCACTCCTTTGTTGCCCGGGCGGTGTGTTTGGGATCATTGTCACAGCCCCAAAGCATGATGTTTCCACCCCCATGCTTCACAGTAGGTATGGTGTTCTTTGGATGCAACTCAGCATTCTTTGTCTTCCAAACACGACGAGTTGAGTTTTTACCAAAAAGTTCCATTCTCCCAATCCTCTTCTGGATGATCGAAATGCACTCTAGCAAACTTCGGGCCTGGACATGTACTGGCTTAAGCAGGGGGACACGTCTTGCACTGCAGGATTTAAGTCCCTGGCGGCGTAGTGTGTTACTGATGGTAGGCTTTGTTACTTTGGTCCCAGCTCTCTGCAGGTCATTCACTAGGTCCCCCCGTGTGGTTCTGGGATTTTTGCTCACCGTTCTTGTGATCATTTT